TTCAATATAGAAGGACTCCACAGTCTGCCGCTAGCGCAGACGCAGCTGGAAAGGAGGTGGTTTCCTGGCATCTTTTCCCCGTATTCCAGGAACAGAGGTGCTTTTTTAATATTTTTAAACATGGCCCTAAATCCTTCTTCGCTCCCTTAAATGGTGAGCTCACGGCATGCGCTCCTGCTTCACCCCTGGCTCGGCACAGCGTGTCTGGCAGGTGGGGACCAACCCCTTCAGTCGGTAGTGACTGACCTTCCTCTGCACGATTCCCAGGGCGCTTTGCCGGGAGAGAACATTTGGACAAAGTCTTCACTTTCACCTGAACTGCAAATGTTGCCAGAATCCTTCTTTTGTTGTTGTTTGTTTTAAACCAAGGGGGTTTGAAGTGTGTCAACCCAGCTGTTGGAGCTTCCGGCGCAACTGAGATCCGACTGGGATAACTGTTCGTAAAACCCTTCAGGCTTTCTGCCTGCGTTTCTGGATTCCTGGTGGGAGACCTCACGGACCACAAGTGGGAAGGTTTACTGAATGAATAACATACCGTAGGATCACAGCCTGCGTTGTTTCTGCCCTCCCTGCTCTGCCTGTTTCCGGTGTGTCTGTTCTTTGGTGGCCACTTTAAGCACATCTTGGCTTCCTTTTGCCCCATTCTGGCACCTTTCAGGCCGCTTGTGAAACACTTCACGGGGAATCAAGTGAACGTCAACGTGCACTGCTCAAAAAATGTCTTGCTGTCCTTCCTCTAAATCCTGCTTTCATGCCAACCCCTAATAACTGCAAGTTCTGTAAAACAGGGAACATCCCTAAGGATGTGGAAAGGCTGGTACATAATGGTTTCTGCAGCTGATTGCAATTAAAAATAGACATACTTGCATATGTATTAAAAATACACGTACTGTCCCATGCTGTCCGATAGTAGATCTGTAATTTTCCAAACTGTTTGAAGAAGTTGGATTTAGTGGGCTTGTAACTACTCTGCTTTTTTTTTTTTTTTCCAACTTTGTCTTGCTCTTCTTTCCGTCAACAGACGACAAAGTTTGCAAGTGCTTTAGACATACCTGTGAAGTTTATAGAAAAGAATGTGAAGCTGCGGGGAAAATTACATCACGTAACTGAGAAAGGCCTGGAAGTTGAACACATTCCCATTAGCATCCCTTTCCTTGCATCCATACAGAGAAAATGTAAGTTAAAGCGTGTGAAGGAGAGTAGGAATGAAGTGTTGTTATTGGTGTGTGGACACAGAGAAGAGCAAGCTGGGGAGGAAGGGTTAAGGTACGGTTTTGGCTCTGCCTTTTCGTCTTCCCGTACTGTACCGGTGGGAAATTGGGGAATGGGAGACTGAGAGAGCTCGTCGATACAGTATTTGTGTTAATTAGCATTGTTGCAGTGATATTTTTCTGGCAGTGAAAGCTAGCGCACGGGCAGTCCGTTTGCTCGTGTAGCTCCTCTCATTCCTGGCAAAACCACTCCGTAGGGATTACTCTTCCATTGGCGATCTGGCAGTACAAACCCTGGCTAGGGATGGGGCTGGGAGTCACGGGCTGGCTTTGCCAGCTCCTGTGGGCGCTGGTGCTTCTTGCTGACTGCTTCTGCCCTTGCAGAGGAAATAACAGCGCCTGGTAACAACAGCAGTTCCGAGCAGTGTGCGTGCGGAATACAACTACCTTAAACCACTCGCACGGTCTTGATCAATGTTTTTACTAAAAGAGATGTGAGACCAAATTTTCACTCGTGCATAAGCAGTGCTTTGGGGAACCAAAATGGATTCTTTTGAAGTGCATGGGAGTCAATTTGTTTCCACCAGCTGAGGGTATGTGCAAAGCACGAAACTCCCTTCGCAGCATCCAGTAACGAAGTTGTGTCTCTCTGTAACCAGGGCAGTCAAAAGGCCTGCTGCTGGTACGGCTGGCTGGAGTGGAGTTGGCTCCGAGCGGCATGGCCTGGTTACAGCAGGAGTTAAAACCCAAACAAACGCTCTGGTTCCAGCTTCTCGGGAGGGAGGACTTGGCACTCGAGTGCCTTGTTTTGGTAAATAAGGTAAAAACAAGGACAAAAATTGGCTTTTATCTGCACTTTTGAGTTTGGCTGTGGCTGTGTGATTCCGTTACCTCAGTACGCTTAAGGATTGTTATTGTTTAGAGTTTATCCATTTCGATGTGAATTTTAAATATTGTAGTTGTAAATCTGATTTCAAGGCCAGTATTTTTGCAGACTGATTTGTGGCACAAGTGTGTTTCTCTGTCAGATACTGTTAGGCTGTATCATGTAGCTCTGATTAGCTGATGTTTGGTCCCTCAAATGTCCTCTCAACTAATGTCGTCTTAGTTATTAGGTTTTAATTAAGTTAGCTGGATTCCTTTTAACTCTTTCTGCTAGAGCATCTAAGTAAAGCTCGTATCTCTGAGGGAGTTCACCCGAAACAATAAATAAAACCATTGTAAAGGTGACGTGAATATCCTGTTTATTGTGCCTTTTTATAGGGTCGATTTCTCAGCGTGTGCTTAAACGAAGAGATCTTGAGGCAGGGGCTTGGCAGAACAGCACGCATTGAAGGGCTGCGTCACGATTCCCGCCTGTACTGGAAACTTCACAGAAGGCTGCTTCGAGCAGAGTTAAAAGCCTCAAGGAAAAACAAGGGAATATGGAAAGAAGAAAGCTACTCTGAGAGAATTCGAGATCGTGTAAGCAACAATCAACTTGTACAGACACTGAAACAATTTGTGAGCTGGTTAAGAAGCTCTAGGTGAAAAGGGAGACTTGCTCGGAGGAATGCCCGGTACCTATGTCATGAGCTTTATGTAAAACATGTTGATGATAAACAAATACCATCATTTCGAGGGTCCGTGTCTTGAAGTGGAAACCCGTAGCTACTGAATGCCGCATTGTAACCCGGCTTTTCGGAGGAGCAGGGTTCGCTCACAGTGTACGGCCTGAAACGCTGCTCTGTTACGTGTCACACTGCGGCGCCCACATGGGTTAGAAAACTCCGTTTCAGACCTTTACAAAGCTTGTGGTGTGTTTCCACACGAGCATTTTGTTTGGATTCGGTTCTTACACTACTTTTATGTATAATCTGTGTTTCAGAAATTGTTCAGCTTGAATAATGGGTTGCATTGTTACCCGTATAAAAGGTAATTTGTTACGGCTGATTTGAAAAAGCTGATGAGGTCGTAACAACAAAAGTTTCTTGGGGGGGGAGGGGAGGGAATCACTTGGTATAACTCAGTAATCCAAATTTTTAGAAGACACCATTCATTTGAAGGAAAAATGATGCTATTTTTTGATGGTTCCATAAATACCTAAAATAAAATGTAAATAAAACTTTAACATGGAGTTTGAAAGGAGGACCATGCTGTGCTAAGAACTTAAATTGCTTTATATACTTAACATATTTCAAAAATGAGTGTATTATATTTATTTTGTAAATATTCTCAGAGTAAAGATTGAATTTCTTACGTTTGTTGAAACATGATGTATATACCAAGCATTTTACATTTATTTAACATCCCACAGTCCCAATATTTATTTGAAGTGTTTCACAGATTTTCTTTCTTTCTCTGTGATCCCTTGCCAATGAAATACGAGGGCAAAGAGTGTGGTACAAAAAAAAAAAGCTTGATAGCTGAGCATTGCGTGTCTGATAATTAGTTTCTGTGTCATCATTTTCTCTGCTCACTTCAGGGCAAAATTGTGACTCCTGAGGTCCTAAAAAAGAGCAGCTTTTCCTCAAGTGAGACTAGCTGTTGATGCTTCTTCGTTACTTCTGTTCCTGGCTGAGGCTGGTTTTTGCAAAGCACAGAGGGCAGCTAGCCATGAGGTACCTGCAGCGTGGGGGGGTGGGGAAGCAGTTCTGTGGCAGAGGCAGAGCTCAGCAGAGCTTGGCGGAGCTGGAAACCAGGTATCCGCCTGCTTTAGAAAAGAAAAATAAGTGAGGCATGTGGTTTTATGCCGTGAAGGGCCAAGCACTGCTGTGGGACTTGGACAGAAAAGTCACACAGACGGTCAGGGATTCGGGATTGGCCATAGCATCCTTTGAAGAGAAACTCAAAGTTGACTTTTAACCCCAAACCACAAATTCAGTCTCGGGAATAATCTGCTACGCATGAGTGATGATAGCTGTTCCTGTGCCTACAGCGAGTTAGCAGAAAGCTTTTCCAAACTGGGCATAATTGTACAGTTAGAATGTTATTTCTGCAATAAATATAATTCAACCTGGACTTTACACTTGTGTTTTGTACATGAGTCGAAGGAGGATTTATCGCAAAAATCCACAGTACAGCTGAGAGAGAAATCTCAGAAAACCACACGCGCCATTTCTAGCAAGCAGAGTTGAGGCGTGGGCGAATATGGAACGTGTTTGTTCCCTCGCAGTCTTGCCTCAGCCCTTTTTACCTTTGCTGAAGTTCAGAAAAGCCCTAGAGATTTTTCTAAATGACAGCAAATTGTTGTAGCCTTTCCACTGGGTTGTTGTTCGTGAGGGATTTTTCAAAGGTGGCAAAACAGCTGCTTTACCAATTACTCAGCCTCCTCTTAGTTTGAACCAAATTTGTGAAGTTTCCTTCCCTGTGTTTGTGGCCGTGAGGTAGTCTGAGAAAGAATTTCAGAAGGAACTATGGGGAGTGATATCCAAAATATTTAAATTCAGGCCTCTGATCTCTTTCCATGTATGTGTACATGACTAGAAATTTGGGTGATGTGTTCCTGGCCAGAATACAAACCCAGGGGAGCAGCTTCGCATAAGGGATCCGTGCTGGGATGGACAACACTAGTCACAGATATTTCAGATTGCAGTGACAAATGATTTCATGAGAGTCAACTCCTGCAATGGTTTGGTAATACTGTTTTCCTTATCGTCCAGGGCTTATCTGTTTAAAAAAAAACCAACACCACACCCTCCCCCCTCAAAAAGGCACTCTTGGGTTCAAAGCTGTGCTTTCCCTCTGCAAGGCTTGAGAGGTTGCAGATCTTGTCTCCGTGGGAGGCCTGTCTATTGAAAAAGCGCTAACAGGAGTAGAAACAAATAGCTCTGCAGAATGGGCTGCAGAACTGACTGGGAGGTCAGGGGGAGAAAAAGCACTTTTCCCTGTTAAAGAAAAACACCCCATGCTGCCTCTGAGGAGCACCATCCCATTCCTTCAGTCTCCGCACTGATGCATGCTAGAGGATTTCCAGGCAGAGGGTGCAGCTCTTGTGTGGTTAGGAATACGGACAAGAGTTAAAGTGTTCAGCTCTTCTGCCTTTGCCCCCCCAACTCTGAACATGCTGTGAGCAAGACAACATCTTAAAAAAAGATCATTGGGCATGGAAGGAGAGGCCTCCAAATGGCCAAGAAAAATATCTTCAGCGTCGCACAGGCTTTTTATTGCTGGTGCGGCATGCAAGGCAAATGGTTGTCACAAACATTACCAGCTTTCCACAGAGCCCACTGGAAAGCGGTGTGCACGGTGCTGTCGGCATACTTTCCTGCAGATTAACAGTACTTGCCCCTGAGCACGGAGCGAGGCCACAGTGATGGGCGTCTGGGCAGCATCCCCCTGACAGCTGGGGCAGGAGACAGCAGAGTCAGGTCTCTTGGGTTCATTGCAACATCCCCACTCAGAGCTCACACCTGCCCGTTCCCTATAAAATGCTCCTCAGCCACCCACGTGTATAAAAAGTTGTGATTTCAACAGCAGTTTTAGACCAAACTTTCTGAGGCAGAGCGGCTCATTCCCTCATGCCAGGACTTTTGATGGCTTGTCATAGAATCATGGAATCAGAGAGTGGTTTGGGTTGGAAGGGACCTTAAAATCCACCCAGTCCCACCCCCTGCCATGGGCAGGGACACCTTCCACCAGCCCAGGTTGCTCCAGGCCTCATCCAGCCTGGCCTTGGACACTCCCGGGGATGGGGCATCCACAGCTTCTCTGGGCAACCTGTGCCAGCGCCTCCCCACCCTCTCCAGGAAGAATTCCTTCCCAATGTCCCATCTCAATCTCCCTCTTTCCGTTTAAACCCATCCCCCCTTGTCCTGTCACTCCCTGCCCTTGGAAGAAGTCCCCCCCCAGCTTTCTTGTAGCCCCCCCAGGCACTGGAAGGGGCTCTGAGGTCTCCCTGACCCTGCCCTTCTCCAGGCTGACCCCCCCAACTCCCCCAGCCTGTCCCCATGGCAGAGGGGCTCCAGCCCTCAGAGCATCTCCGTGGCCTCCTCTGGACTGGCTCCAACCAGTCGATATCCTTCTGATGTTGAGGGCCTCAGAACCGTATGGGGGGAGTCCCATGAGAGCAGAGGGGGTGAATGCCCTCC